TTTAATGTGTATCAGAAAAACCACACAAATAAAATTGAAGCAAGAAGGCGTTCGTGCGGGTAGAAATATGTACGAATAAATAACACTTGTTAGATTTGTGAGCAAATACAAGTTTTTCTACTTTTTGCAATGTATGTATTACTTAGTACTGGTACTGCTGCAATTGTGTTTGCTGGCGATTGATATGCAATCGTTTCTTTTTTTTCCAAAAGCCAGTGACCCTGTAAAGAATGAAAGTTGCAAAGATACATATGTATGTACTTTAGGGTGTTCCAAAAATAGTAAAGTCGGAATTGTAATGCTCTTACCCCCTAGGAGTGTTCTATTGAAATCAAAGCGCTCAAAGTTTTCCATGCATTTTTATATAGGTAAAATAAAATTTTTCGTTGAAATGGTATAAATCTCTTGAAAATCAATAATTTTCGATCGGAAAACTCTGGTTCTCTTCAGAAGACTTCCAATAACAATACCCAATTGTTTATTGAACCATTTTGTAATACTAACGATTTTTTATGGGTCGCCCCATTGCATTTTATACTTATAATTGCGATTAAAAAATTGTTAAATAAACAACTGGATATTATTATTGGGAATCTCCTGCAGATAAACGGAGGTTTCTGGTAGATAAATATTTATTTTTACTATTCTATACCATTTCTACGAAAAGTTGTTTTTTTCCCATATAAAATACATGGAAAACTTTGGGTGCTTTTAGCGACCTATTAATATTTTTTGATTTCAAAACAAAAAATAAGGATATAATTTTTTTCGGTATAGAACAATCCTAGAGGGTGAGAGCATAAAAGTTCCGACTTTACTTTTTCACTTGCATTTTTGGACCGCCCTAATGTACATACATATATGCTTGTATATGAATGCTTTATGTTCGTCTACATATATATCTGTGGACATTCGAAAATACAATTTAAGTCCATCTTTCACGGATAAACAAAATAGCACATGTCGACAGAGCTTTCTTTACTCAGAGCAATAATTTTCATTTAAAAGAAAATATTCAGTTATTGAAAACAGAAACTTCTTCAAAGGTTGTGATTAGCGATAAAATAATTATATATTTCTTTTGAATTACAAAATTTTTCTCTTTGGCAGTAAAATGTGTTTTGTTGACATGAGCTATTTTGTTTGTTCGGGAAGGATAGACTTAAGTTGTTCTTTCAAATGTCCATAGATATGTGTTTTAATTATAGTACATTCCAAATATTTAAAAAAGTATAGTAACTTTTTGCAGCATTGAACTTGTTGGCAAGTAATTGTTAGTATGTTTCATGTTTTCCATGCCTATTTTCACAATCGCTTTAGTATATAACTTTATATGTATGTATTATTAGAACGTCCGTTAAAAAAAAGCAAATTATTTCGCCAGGCGGGACTTCATTTTCTGAATATTAAGTCAAAAGTGAAAAACTCGAATAAGTCCTGAGATTCTCAGCCTAATTGCGAGAGTCATATCGAATGCAAGTCGTTTTCGAGAATCGAATCGTATCGAAAATTTCACGTCATTGCCTAAAATTTCTACTCGACTAGTGTATTAAAACGGGGAAACTTGGCAGCACTGCTCGCAATGAGGCTGTCTATATTTCTTTTTCAAATACAGAAAGCGACTTATTCGTTTTTTCCCAAATTAAAGGTCTTCGAATTCCTTATCAGCCTGCTGTATGCTGTTTTCCAGTCCAATTATCAGTTTAAGAGTTATCTGTAAATTTATGTCAGAAATCGGTAAAAAATTTCAAGATGCATCGTGATTTTATTGTTAATTTATTTTAAATTTCATACAGCATTATAATAACAGTAACTTATTCGTTGTTCCCAAATTAAAGGTCTTCACATCCCTTATCAGCCTGTTGTATGCTGTTTTCCAGTCCGATTATCAGTTTAAGAGTCATCTGTATATTTATGGCAGAAGTCGGGCAAAATTTTAAGAAGCGTCGTGATTTTATTGTTCATTTGTTTTAGTTTCATACAGCATTACAATAATAATAATTATATATGTAATTTATTGGCGCTTACAGGCTAACCTAATATTCGCGGCTTGCGTTTTGGTACGCATGCCGTCGAATTTGTTTTTTTGCGTCACCCGAAATTGAATTGCATGCGTTTGCATTTGATTTCATTGAGCGAAACGTCAAATCAAAATGTCACGCAGAACAAAAATTGGAAATTGAGTTAGCTTCATACGCACGCCGTTCATGAGAAATTTGACAATAATTTGCCGGCGGGCGTGAATATTAGGTTAGCCTGTTACACAATATGTTAAGTGTTTGGCCGAGCGTCTCCTCCGATGTGTCGCGTGTGGCTTGATGTCAGGGAAGCCAAATCGTGGGGAATTCCCCGATTTGCGGGGACTTTCAGTTTACGTGGGGAATCGGCGAATGGGCCGTTTTTTGTGGGAAATTTCAGGAATTAGAGGAATTAGGTGTGACTAATTTTTTATTTTTTTTTCTTTACTAATTTCATGAGTTAAAAAAGTTGCATAAGAAATACAACTGCAACTAAAAGCACTGACTTGCAACCCTGCCAATTATGCAAACAACCGTTGATTTTTTTAGAAAATTCTTTGTCGCATTTGCTTTCCTACAGTGAATAAAACAATTTGTTTTTATATGGAGGAAAACCGCAACCAACACCAAACTAAATTCTAAATGGAAAATTTTTAGCCATTTGAAACTTGCACTTTATTATACTAGAACTGAGTGTGCTACAATAACCCAAAATATTTCTAGGGAATCAAATTAAAAAAGTTCGTAATTTGTACGACAGTTTGTTGAATTTTTTTAATATTGCACAAAGTTTGAAACTTGGCTTTGTACGGGTTTTGTTGGAGAATTAACTATATTTTAATAAAAAAATAGCTCAAACTAAATGACAAAAAGTAATAATTGTGAGAACTTGTCAAAATTTGGTGCGAATAAATTTTTTCGACCACTGTATGTATCAGAGACCGGTTTTGAGTACTAATAAAATTAGTGTACTTATTCATGATCCATAAAAATTAGTGCAAATGAGCACTTACACTAATTCAAAAAATGACTAAGAGTAATTTCCACCAAAACAAGAACACACTCAAAATATACTAACTCTTATTTGTGGCGGCAATTTTTGTCTCTATCGAGTATAGTCTACCCAGCTGGATTTTACTCATTTGGTCGAGTGAGAGGCTGAAAATAATTTCAATGAGTTTAATATTATTTGTGTTCTGCTTTGTTATACATCATGTGTGTATTTTTGGTACAATTGTACTTTTTTGATACAATTTCGTTTAGTACGCAGTACTTTTTAGTTCAATTTTGTGATGAATACTATAAATATATACGTAGCTCTAAAAATTCAATGCGGGAATTCCTTTTATCTTTTTGTCTTCGCCTTCTCGTTTTTGCCTTTGTAAGTTTTGAAAAAAAGTTTTGAAATAAGCATTATAACATAGCAAAAGGTGTGCTATCAACCTCACATTCCTAGGCAAGTTTTGAAAGAATATTTTCGATACTAAATCTTATTAAAACAAAATGTCAAAATCAGCTTCATATAGTTAGAAACAGTGTCATCGTTAATTCTTTATGTTCTTAAATATCATAACTTCACGACACTCATATATTGACTAGAGTTGACTATTTATTTTATTATTTTTTAATTCTAATTATTTGTTTATAAAAATATAGTTATTGCTTAACAAAAACTGTATGAAAATAAGTTTAAATTTTTGAACATTAAAAAAATCGACAAACTTTCGTAAAAATTTCGAGCTTTCTATTTCCATTTTAGTATAATAAAGTGCAAGTTTAAAGCAGCTGGAATTTGCCGTCAATGTCATATTATCTAAACGCGATTTTTTTTTAACGAAGAAAATCTGCACCACCTTCATCAAAAGAAATATATATATATTAAAAATCAACGATAAGTCGCAGCTATTTTAAACTTGCACTTCATTTAAATTGATCGGACTACAAACGGCATTCTCAAAACATGTATTTCTAGGAAATCGAGTTAAAAGCCCGAAATTTTTACGAAAGTTTCATTTTTTTAATGTTGCGCAAAAGTTTAACCTTGGGGTTTTATTAAAGTATATACTGCATTTTTATGCAAATACAAATAAGTAAAACTAAATAATTTTAAGATGAATTGCCAATCTTGTCAATATGTGAGTGTCGTAAAGTTTTGATAAGCACTTGAAATACTAAAAATAAAATGTCAAACTTTAGTACTGAATTCAAAGAAGATGTCTCCTTTATCCATGCATAATAACTTAAAAAAATATGTTTGTTAAGAAGTGTACCTTAAAATATGTGCATACACATTTATGTTCAAAGTGTAAAATGTACCTACATAACCTTTCCCATGAATACCATCAAATCATTGATCTTGAAGGGAATATATGTATGCATGTACTAAGAAAATATATGAGCAAATTAAAAAGTCGATGCAATTTACAGTCGAAAAGTATATTTTTTGTATAGATTTCGTACTGAAGCAACAGTTTTATTTCCCAACACTGTGCGACATGCGGGCGCCACCATAAACAAGTGTGAGCTAAAAGCGAGGGTGTGTGTCTTCGCATGCTGTCGCTTTCTCGTCGTTTGTACATGTTTTGTTGCTATAAACGACGAAAATCACTAAATTCACTAAAATCACTCAACTGAACTATTGGTGCTTCTTAGTGCTCCTACTCATTTCGGTATAACTAATTTGTTTAATGGCTCAATGAGAGAATTGAGCACTACACCAATTCATATCAACAGAGAACTTAGTCATTGTACATCCTCTCGCTTTGTGTGCCGAGCGTAAAATAGTAGGTTTGTTCCACACGAGCCCGCGGGTACCCACGGGTGCCCAAAGCAGCCCAGAAAGCGTTACTCACGCTAGAAAAATGGGTAATAGAGAGCGAATACCTTCCACTTTTGGATCGTAAATGTCTTCTTCTTTGTGCACGAAACAGCCCAGACTTTTTTTCCGGGCACAAATGTGCAAAAGGGCAATTTGAAATAACTACTGTTGTTTAAATCCGAAAGCAAATTTTATAAAAACAAAAGTGGAAAATATGACAGAATTTTCAGAAAATGTAGTTATTTGCTAATTTTATTAGCCATATAAGATAAATACACGTAAAATCATTGTTTAGAGCTGATATGTTGATTCCGGGCACGAAATGTGGTTTTTTGCGTTCCTCACGCTCTGGGCACTTTTGGCACGTGTTGGCACATTTTTGACACTTGTGAGAGAGTAACTTATTTTTACTCTCTAATTACCGGAGCAGCCCGGAAAGCGTGGGGAACGAAGCTAGTGTTAGAGCATATGTGTGAATATTCTGCAATGAACAATATCCACTAACACTATTTCTTGTGTTATTCAACCAATTACTTAAAAACACGAATAATTACGGTTACCTGATAGTG